CTGAGAGGAGGGGGAGGGGGCGACAGGGGGTTCCAAATAGACTTTTCTACAGTAAAATACCTGCTACCTAAACCCCAGGGGAAAGAGGGGGGCTAAGATGGCGGGAATTTAACCCCTGCCCCCCCCCCTCCCCACTTGGATCCACCAATACAACCTCATCGCCCTCAAATAACCTCATCAAGACCCGGCACCCTCGACCTATTGCATCCAAAACCCTTAAGTTACTTCATCAAGAGCCCAGGCCGAGTTGCCCAGCTATCCCCAAAACTACCTCATCCAGAAGGGAGCGAAGCAACCTCACATTATCCCAACAAGCTATGCCTTCCGGAACCGAACGGCCATCAAACTGGCTCAGCGATCAAGCTCGGTTACAGCTGAAACCGTTTGATAGCCGTTCAGTTCGCCAACCTTACCGCATCCACACCCCGAATAGAGACACTCACCCCACGACCTCATATCAACACCCCGATGAACCATCAGCGACCGAACCACGCACACTGCAAGCCATTCAAATCACGGTTCGGCGCCATCCGGTCTGCCTACTGCAGCGCAATATTTTATGAACTGGTAAAATCAGAAGGTAAGAGTGAGATAAGACGTTTCGGTCCATTAAGTCATATACATCTCAAATGAACACTGCCACAGGGCCTCGTAAGTTTAGCTTGGTGGGGGTGAGGGATATGATTTGCAATTTTAATGGTATCCCTTCTTCGTTTCCGCAGATAAAATCAGAAGGAAAGAGTGAGATAAGACGTTTCGGTCCATTAAGTCATATATACCTCAAATGAACACTGCCACAGGGCTTCGTAAGTTTGGCTCGACTGAGGTGAGGAGTGTGAGTTGCAATTTCAATGGAATCCCCTTCTTCGTTTCCGCAGACAAAATCAAAAGGTAAGAGTGAGGTAAGACGTTTCGGTCCATTCAGTCATATACATCTCAAATGAACACTGCCACTGGGCCTCGTTAGCTTGGCTCACTAGATTGAGGGATGTGAGTGAGAGTAGTAATTTTAAAGGTATCCCCTTCGTTTCTGCAGATAAAATCAGAAGGTAAGAGTGAGATAAGACGTTTCGGTCCATCAAGTCATATAAACCACAAATGAACACTGCCATGGGACCTCGGCTCAGCCGAGGTGGAGGTGTGAGTGGGAGTTGCAATTTTGATGGTATCCCCTTCTTTGTTTCCGCAGATAAAATCAGAAGGTAAGAGTGAGGTAAGACGTTTCGGTCCATCAAGTCATATACATCTCAAATGAACACTGCCACGGGACCTCGTCAGCTTGGCTTGGTGGGGGTGAGGGATATGAGTGACAGTAGTAATTTCAATGGTATCTTCTTCTCAGTACCCGGCCGCCCTTGTCCATCCTCGGATTACAGAGGGAATTGAAGAGGAACTTAAACTTTAATATGAACAGCGAAGAAGTGCGGAACGCTGGTGATGTCCAAGTAAAGCTCACTTCATCACCCTCATCCAGAATGCTACGTAACTGACTATTCGGTCTCGAAAATCCAAAAAATTTCATTGAAAGTTCTCGATGTATGGTTTCTATGCACTAGCAGTCCACTAGATCAAGTGGAAGAGACACGAGGGAAGGGGTTGGGGGAGACGTGGGAGAGATGGGGGGAGGGGAGAGACTTGGGAGAGGTGGGAGGGGGGAGCTGAGACTTAAATTCAATCTTTTAGTTTAACAAATTGCTTTTTAACTTGTTTGCCTTAATTTCCTTTTTAAAAAATCATTTAAACTGTCGTCGAGGCACATTATTGTGGTCTGATTGTGACCCAAAAATTTATCGAAATGCTGATGCTTATCAGCTCGCATCAGTAATATCTTAAATCAGTTACAACTTTGCAAAATGCTTCTTTCTTGAGAAACGATGAGCTTGAGGAGATGAAACGAGCGTCAAAATCACCAGCAGGCTAAACTTCAGGGAATGCAGCATCGGTCATTAGATGCCGGTAGACAATTTAAGCTAGAAAATTTTCAAAAAAAAAAAATTGCTGTGTAATATTATAAAAACGTGGTGAGTAGCGGACTGGACTGAAACTACCACTCCAATTTGTAAAAGTGAATGATTTGTATTGAAAAAGTAGAAATTTCCAATAAAACTTTGTTCAATACTGAGGATGGCAAGGCTTGGCAGGAACGAATCACTTTATTGTACTTTGCGGTCATAACTAATTTTTGCCAGAAAAATGGAAATTTTCAATGAGTTATTGTGGCGTGATGCAGGAAAAAGGCCTTGTCTAGTAATATGGTCCTTGGAAAAGGCCTCACCACATGGTACTTTGTATCTGCGTGCAGCAATTCATTTTGAAAATCAAAGGAATTTTTTTTTTTTTGACTAAACTTTGTCACCTGCTGCTAGAAAAGGGCCCTGTTTGTTAAATTAGGCCTGGCAATAGCTTCACTGCGTGGCATTTCGTATTTATGAATTAATAATATTAAAAAATTAAGGAATTTCTGACTTATGTATTATTATTGTAAAAAGACTGCAAAAAAATCCTTGCCATCTATTATTGCAATAAAAAAATCCATGCCTATGGTTATGGGTCTGGGAGAAAGCCTGCATGGTACTTTTTTCTATCGGGATTAGTTATTTTGAAAAATTACGGGATTTTTGGCCAAACTTTGCTGCTCTGTGTTGAAAAAACAGAAGCCTGGCTATAATTGGCAAA